ATTTTCCAAAAGTGTTTCCGCCATTTTCTTTATTTTGTCAACAAAACTGCTGTCAAGATTTTGTTCTTTTTTCATTTCAGAAGAATTTAACAATGACTGTAAAACAAAGAAAGTTAATTCAGTAAAATGGTTAAAGTCAATGTTTGATTTTCAAGGTACAGTAATATCAACAAGCGTGCCTCAAAGGATGGTTTTATACAGTATACTCATCTGTCAAAGTGGCTTCATGATCAAAATGACAGAATATGTGACATTGCAAGCTGCTTTCAAAAAAGGATAATTTAACATGAAGGCCTTTGGCTCAACTGGTACTTCAATGGTCATTGCCATATACTGTACTGGACTCAGCTGGTAGAAACTTAAGACAGGGTGCTTAGTCCTTAAAATGAAGTACATAAAGTACAGATATCTGAAAGGTATTCATTCAGTAACCAGAAACTACGAGTAGAATGTTGGGGGTTGAACTCACAAAGGCAAAGCCAACATCGCACGTTGCTTAATAACTAAAGTACTGAAGTATTGAACTGAAGTACCAAAGGATTAAACATAAACTCGTAATTTACAGTGTTTTACTAAATATAGACAACGAATTTGACAAATTGCTTACAAAAAATATAATTATTTAATTTGTCGGCTAGTTTTATTAAAACACTCTGTAAACTATGAGTTTATGTTCAGTACTTGGTCTTGGGAACTACTGTATAGTTCAGTACATTAACTGTACTTCAGTGAGCAACTAGCAAAGTTGAGTTTGCAAGTTTCACAATAATTTCACAGTAGTGTAGTATTTATTAATGCATGTTTTATATATTATAGTGTAAATTAAGGCCTGTAAAATCAGTATTACGTTGTCCAGTTTGTAGTCTGGAATATGTAATTATGTATATATCGTGTTTTAGTGTTAAATCGATGGACTTAGCATGGGATTCTAGTTCTGTAGTCCAATCCTTCAATCATGTCCAATCATGTGTGTATTTTTATGTATATAATATGACTGTAAAGTTATAAAAAAAGTTCATGTCCAATATTCCGAATTTAGAAACTTAATTGGGAATATTCACAACAATCTTGTGAAGCGAGTTTTGAAAAGTGACCTGAAATCAACAATAAACAGTTTTATTTACTTCTTCAAACCATCTTCCAACAGGATGGATTAACAATCTGTCCTTAATTTCCACATCGCCGACTCTCTCTGAAGCATTCCCAGGTGACTGTGCGCGCTCTGTAGGCGTAGCTTTGTTGTTTGCTTTTCTTTTGGACTTAGTTGATTCCTTTGTCTTTGTTTTAGTCTTCTTAGAATTCACTGTATCGTCATGATTATTAACCTGCTTGACCTTTAAATTGGATTGGCTAAAATAAAATACAAATTAAAATCCCTCATGTACTATAGTCTCTTGCATATTTCAAACTTAGTACTGTCTAATTAATAACTTATGACATGTGATATTTGCTGCGTTGGTGTAATGTACTCAGGTGAATAAGATGCTTGTGATGTTACTCTGAGTGTATATCCACACCGGGCAGGCTTAAAAAAATATACCTGGCCACGTTGGGAATCGAACCTACGACCTTTGGAATACTAGCCCAATGCTCTGCCAACTGAGCTACGCGGTCAGGTCAGTTTGAGTATGTGATATTTCGAAACTGAGTCTAGTTCCTTCGAGATCAGTGTAATCTAATAATCATGATAATTGCTGTGTTGGTGTACAGTAATCATAGCCTACGGTGTAGACCCCAGCAAACTGCTGGTGTCTACACCGTAGGCTACAGTAATCACTATGCAGGTGAATAAGATGCTTGTGATGGACTCTGAGTGTATATCCACACTGGGCAGGCTTGAAAAATATGCCTGGTCACGGTGGGAATCGAACCTACAACCTTTGGAATACTAGCCCATCGTCGTATGTTCGATTCCCACCATGGCCAGGCATATTTTTCAAGCCTGCCCGGTGTGGATATACACTCAGAGTAACATCAAAAGCATCTTATGCCATATGGTCAAATATATCTTCTCAAACTCATCAATAATTCATGTGCAAACACAGCCGTATATGTTGTCTTGATAATGAATGCATCTATCGCCTTGAAAATTTCTCTTTAAATACATTGGTGTGTTTGGGAAGTCATTGAACAAACTCAAAAGCTGTTTAAATACCGGTGTATGAAGCACCTCAATTCTCAAATGTGTGAAATAATTAATAGCTGGGGCCTCGTTTTTCAACATGCTCTTTGGTCTTCTATTCGCCAGTAATAAATGCTTACTAGTTTTGTTTATTACAATGTCAATGTTGAATAACGTAGTGGGCTACTGGGCTTATATTTGGGAGACTTATATTCGGGGGGGAAGGGGGGTGGGGTAGGCTCGGTCTCAGCCGTTCCCTCTTGGGGGGGAGGGCACGCTTATATTTGGAATGAGGTGATGTTAGTACATGTGGGGCTTATATTCAGAGGTTCACAGTATTAATATTATAACTTACTTTTTGAGGGATTGCAGGCCAAGTTCTTTGATGAGATTTTGTACCTAGTAAATAATTATCAATTCAACAAAAACTCAAATATAAAGCTAGTCAGGATGTCATTAGCTCAACTTCGGAATCAGATTTCAAGTGACTGCATTGAAATTCAAATGCAACCAAATATGTAGACTGCAGGCAGTCCCTCAAAAGAAAGGAGGAACTGCAACACATCAAGAACGAATATGCCCACACAACGCAAAATTCCCATTGGTCGGAATCGATGCGCCTGTCAATCAAATCGGATATGTAGTTAACTAATTTCCAGGCTTGAATGTTGATTTTATAAATAAACATGACAGACTCAAATTAGTGGATAGATTTAATTGGATAAAACATATTTCATTTCTTGATGTCCGGCAGCAGTCCCTCCTTTCCCTTCACATGCCCGGGAATCTAAACCCGCAGGGACTGGAAGAGGAGGGACCGCTAGACATATGATGCACAGATCGGTCTGTGCATGCACAGAAATCATTCTCAGTTGTGACTGTCTGATAATCGGCCAGTATCGGGACAATTTTAGTCTTATCGGTAGACAATCAGAATCAGACAGTAGAATTATCGGTATTTCCAATCATGAAAAATTTGAGAAAATAATGCACATTAAAAATAACATACATTGCATGTTCACCTCATACATGTTAAGACCCTGTCACACTATTGTGTATGAGAGAAATGTATGAGAAGCGTATGAAAATTAATGAAATAATTTTCATACGCACAAAAATCCTTTGAAATGCCAGCGTATGAGTACCGTACATCTGGCGTACCTCGTGCTTGAAACGTATATACCTATGCCTAACGTACCCCTAGCGTATGTCAGCGTATACCGGCATATGAGTGATATTTTTCATACGCTGGCATACGCTAGTACGATACGCAATAGTGTGACAGGGCCTTAAGGGGTCGTCAACAAATAGATTTTGTCCACCGATCACGGACTTGTTCCGCGATTGCTTCAACCCCCTCTCACATCGCGGACCAATCCAACGACTTTTTAGCTAGAAAAGTAAGTTTTTGTCCTGATTATATTGTATACACGGGTTGTCGCGGAACAAGTCCACGATTGGTGGACGAAATCTATTTGTCGACGGTCCCTTACATTTTAATGCAATTTGTTATACAGCTAGAGTGAACACCAAATGTAATTGGCTGATTTGTGGTCATGTGACTTCAAATAAATGCAATGTATCCCGCCGTGAAAAATTGTTGCCCTCCCAGACTGGCTACGTACATAAATAAACAAAATGGCAGCACAACTAGCATAATTAGAAACTACGATTTTCCAAGTTTCTCAAGAAAACAAAACAAACTATTTCCCTCAGGAGCAGACATTAAGTGTATGTTGAGCTGCAACAAAATTAGTATAATATTTCAGGAAATTGCTATACTTTACAGGCATTAGGCCACATAAAAAAAAATAGTTGGTTAGCGTCCCCGCCCGCCCACAAAAAAGGCCCCACTCAGGATTTTTTTTTACTTTTATTGATCAACAGGCTCTAATATATGTAGTATTTCTGTTGACTGTAGTCAATTGTGTTAATAATTTGCGAAATTGCGTGCGAAAATGATGGTATGAATTATATTTTGAAATATATAAAAAAATATCTGTACTGCAAAAGAAAATCCAGTTTCGGACCTAACAGTGAGTAAAACCAAGGCGTTAAAAATTAGTAAAAATTTTAAAAAAAAGCGCCCGCCCGCCCACTTTTTGGCAAAAGCTAAGGACGCTAACCAACTCTTTTTTTTTATATGGCCCTTATTAGTATATTTTACAGGCGGTTGTTGCAAGTGATGTTAATAAACTTAGCACCCAGTTTCATAATCTCCTAATAACACCCTAACATTCATCCCAACCTGTCACCCACAATGAACGCCCGTCAAACAATTATATTTGCCACATGGCCCACAAAATATGGTGTCAAAGTTTTAACACACGGGCCTGACCTCTGATTTCTTGACTTCATTCTGTTCATTAGCAACAATTCCATCAGTTACAACATCATCTTCATCATCAACATTTTTAAGAAGTTCATAATCAGCCTGAAACAAAACTTCATCGTATTTAAAAAATTCTAAAATTCATAATCATATCTCAAGCATGTCAGCATTGTTTTATACTTATTTTCCACAATGTACTATTACAAATGGACAATTACGCAAGCCTACCTCATCTCCTCCTAACCCTACAACATTCTGTAGAGTAAATTCGTTGATATTTTCAGTCGAAGTTGATGAAACGTGCTTTTTCTTGCGTTTTTTCTCAAAATTTTGCTTCTTTTTGGAAGCCATGTTGGATTTTCTGAGCCCAAACTACTACAAAACAGCAGTTCTTAGTACAATACTTCATGTGAGCAATATTGATATGCCATTTTTGAAGAAAAAGGAAATTTCGTTTTAATTTTCTTGTAAGTATTTTAACTTCTAATGGGCCAATTATTGAATTATTTGCATTAGAACCAAACATATGAACTTAACCCACCAGAGTCGAGTTGCATCCTACTTTATTAATAAATTTACCGGTCTAATACAAGACGATTTTACTGGTCAAGGCGAGAGTGCTGGTGCTTAATGGGTTAACTGGCCTATCTGCCCATGTGTCTAGTTAACCCATTGAGTCGCATTGCGCCTTACTTTATTATTTTTGTCCAATGCCAGACAATTTTACTTGTCAAGGGGAAAATGTGCTCTATCAGACAAGGCAAAGCAGACAAGGCAAAGCAGACAAGTTTTTGACAGCTGTCATGGCATAATAGTATTAAGAGAGTATATGGGTCTTGGGGTCATCTTTGTTGGTGACCTGGGGCCACACAGTATGTAGCCCTTTATATCAGTTCTTTATTTGTATTAAATGTTTCCATTTACTGACTACCCGTCTAGATTTCATAGATTAGATTTTGCTATTTGTAAGCAGCAATTATTTGTGCCTATTTGTGTAAATTTGTAATCACTAAGTGGCATTATTAAATACTGTAAAATGTCGGAAAACTTGTGAAGACTTTCCACGGTGCACATGCCTGTATATATACAGACATGCAAGGAATAGTCTTAAAAAACAAGATTTCCTTTTAATGTAGTTGCCAAAGAGGACACAGAAACGAATGTGCTTACCAAAGAGCGCACTCGAAGTGCTCACCTTGACAATAAATGTTATAGGGCAATGATAAACGTCGCACGTGTTTTCGCCAGCCTGTGACAGGGGACTCTTTTAACTTTTTTTGAGTGGGAAGATGAAGAGCTAAATGAAACCCACTTGTAGATGGGGTATTATGTAAGGATTGTCGCTGGTTCGGGGTAGTATGAAGCTTTGGGTTAGGGTGGTATTGCCCCAAACCGACTGGCTCAATATAATTTCCAGAATTGGCAACATGTGACAGTATAAATATACCTAGAAAGATATCTTCACACTGCGACTAAATCGAACAGTACAAATGGCTTTTATACTCAAAATTCCCGAAATTTGTTGCGCATGCACGAGTTTGGGAAATTTGTGAGTCGACTTTCGAGAGCACATGCATTGAATTAATTGAAAGAACAAAGAAAAAAATAATATTTCAGACAGGCGAAATAAACTTATCAATCACTCTATAATAGATTGTATATAAATTGTGATTTTGAACTTTTTTGGCTTCGTATGTTATTTAAATTTTTAAGTGAAAAGTGTTGAAGTTAACTTAGAAGGATGTTTTAACAAAGTGGAAGCATCGTAATTGAATTTATTGAAATATAAAGACTATATTTAGAGAATGGCCAACTTCTCGAAGTGGTTTTATCGCGGTGAGGGAAACAAAACTCTTGTTATTTCGAATCCAGAAACTAGGCAAGTCCTTCGCTTGCAAAAGTCAAAGGTAACGACAAAAGATCAGCCAAATTACACCCAGAACGTGAGTCAAAAAGAGTCGGAAAGCTTACAACAGGAAATTGAGAAAAGTATCGAGCTTTGTAAACAGGTTTTTATTCCATTGTTAGGGGAGAAATATGTCGAACCTGGGTGCATCGTTGAACTTTCTGAGGAGTTTATGATAAGTATTAAAGACCTAGTAACTTCTGCCAATAAAGAAAGGCCAAAAATTAGGCTGAGCAAAGAGGTTAACCAGCAAAGCAAGTTTGGCGTTTCAATGCCAGATTTTTGCTTTGTTTCCGGGGTTTATGCAAATGAGGTTGAAGGCAAGACGGTCCCACCCACATTTTGTATTGAAATAAAACCGAAGTACGGTACCCTGCCTGCATGTGCAGGACTTGAGAAAAGTTTATACAGAAATGTGAAGGAATCTCTTTGCAAATACTGTTTATTTCAGTGGACAAAAGTTAACAAAGAAGGGAAATATCCACAGCGAAGTGGCTACTGTCCTCTAGACTTGTTTTCGTCAGATATAAGGAGGGTCTGGCATGCATTGATTTGTCTTTTAAAGAACCCTCAAAACAACTTTAGGATTTTTCAAGAAGGTAAACTGGTATACTCTGGTGAGACTATGTCACCATCATATTATGGTCAAATGGAAAATGGTAACATAGCTGATAAGATACCATCAAATACTGGTGCAAATGAACATCAGTCACACTTGTCACCACTTGAAGAGGCCCTTTCTCATTCATTTGCAAGTCACCATTCAGACACTTTAACCAATTATAATCTGTACAGTGAAATTGATGGTGCAAATTTATCGTCAACCACTATGTTGCTGGCCACCTTGCTTCAGTTACTTATACACGACTCTAATGAAAGTAGCATAAATCATCACCACCATGTTGATCACCATTCATCTAACCATCCTGTTTGTGAGGCAAGTCAATATAATGAAGCCAACTACTCAACTGACATTCCAACATGGCTAATGTCAAAAGGTTTGGCTTTTGGTCAAGATGGTGTTTTGAGGAAAATCTTGGATGTGCAGAAATTGGATAAAATTGGAACTGATAACGCATTTAGTAGTTTTAACACATTATGTGCCAATGGTCACAAAGAACTCATCGATTTGCATATTTTGACATTTAATCAAAACACTGTGAAATGCAGTATTAATGCCAGCAATAATGCAAAAACAAATGATAATTGTGACCGAACACAAACAAGTGCTAATTGTGATGAGAATGGCAGCGTTTATACTAATGACTTGTCAATAGCAAGTGAATTAGATAGTCTTACAAAATTTTTAATTGCAGCCAGTGCTAACGACTGTTCTATAATGATCTCATTTCAAGAGGTATTGAATGGTAGTCCTAAGGATTTGAGTTGTTTTGAAGATGTTCTTACTGGCAAGGTTTACAAGTATTCAATTGCCATAGTGGACCTTGATGAGAAGGACAGCGATCGTATTCCAAAGTACTACAAGGAGTACCACGATATTGTTGATAATTATCTTCAATTAAATTTAGAAATTTAATTTAATAAAATGTTTTACTGTGACATTATGCAAGCTACATTTGAAACATTAAGTTTACAGGAAAGATGACCCTGAGTCCATTTTTCAGTTCATGATGGCTATCACATTGGAGAATACCAAGGGGGGGAAATAATAAAAACTGAAAAAATATCCTGTAAAATGTGCAGGTGTCAGGCATCTGTGTTTGCATTTGGTTCAACAAATATGACAGCAAATAAGCTATTTAGGTTTACCATTTGAAATAGCAGATCATTTCGTAGTACAACAAGGCAATTAACTAGCTGATCAATGAACTAGGAAAATAGGAATGGGTCGTTCCAGAAAAGATCCACACTCCCCCCACAGAGGAAATTTCTGCCGTCCGGAGGGGGAGGAGAGACAAAATTGTTTCTGATAATAGTAAATGTATTATTTAGGACATCCGAAGGGGGTAGGGGGGTTAACTTCCAATTTCCTCTGTGGGGGTGGTATGGATGTTTTCTGGAATGATCCAGTAAGAAGCCGATTTTGAATGACATAATTTATAAATTTTGCAATTTGAAAAAGCCATAATTCACATTATTTCGAGAAGGTTCGAAAACTTGAAATTTTACATGGAGGAAGATTGACTGGGATGGGTGAAGAATATATTACACAAAAGTTTCACTTTTAATTTTTTAATTTAAATTGAATATTAAACTGGAACAATTTGTACATATTAGACGTCCAGAACAATTTAAAATATTTTCCAAAGATCACTTACATCACAATCAAATATTTCTGTCTACTTGAAGAAAATAATTTGGACAGTACCTGGTATGCAATGATAACATGCAGTTAAATGCAATTTAACTAAGTTAACAACAAAGAGCGCAGTTAGTGTATTAGTTAGTATGGTCAGTGATTTCTGGCATACCAGCATGCGCATGGCAATAGTAGGTCAGCGGCTGTGTTTGAGCATGCGCAAACAACAGGCACGCATTGTTCGGAAATCCTTCTAGACTTGGGTGCTTATTATCAGAAAGTTCGTTTTTTGGGGTTTTTTATTATTATCATTTTTTTCACTGACCCAGTCAGTGTGACAGGTGCTTGGACCTGGTGTGGGGGCTCATGACTGGGTTGCAGGAAACTGCAAGCCATGAGAGTGGTATGTTTGTCTGGGGGCTGGCTTTGGAAGTGGAAGCCCCTGGATGACCAAGGCACCCATTATCCACAAGCGATACAGTTGTTAACAGCATGTAATAATTCCCCCTCCCTCCTATACTTACAAAACCAGACATCACATTTCCCACGCTCACCATTTCCAAGTGAGGGGATAGAAATTATATCTAGGTTCACCAACTGCACCTCCAAGTGATTACCCATTTTTATACTCAAGATTATATTCCTTATCATATCCATTTTGGGGGAAATCCCCCCCCCCCCCCCAAATTTAACGATTTTCAGATTTGGGGGGGGGGGAGAATTTGGGATTTTTTGGGGGGAATCACCCCTTATCCCCCCCCCCTGCAAAATGCCCCCGAAGATCATTTTCAAAAGATTCTGACTAATGTTTCCTGGTCTACCCACCTTTGGAAGAAATGGTTTGGGACTTGGGCAGAATTTTTTTGCAAAAATATTGTCTAGTTTGACTTCTCCTCCCTAGCAAACTTTTACTATTGGTGATTATCTCGATTAGCACTGCTGTGAGCGGGTGCGCACAGGTCTTAGATCCTTTTAGGTCGTAAATATTTTAAATATCCTATATAAACTTGTATCTCCACAGTAATTACTTCTGTTTAGATTTCTCTGGTGACCAAATATCTCTGGTCGGCTTCACACCCCAGATCTCATCAGCATACTGTCTGATAGTGCGATCACTTGAAAACTTGCCAGCGGCAGCCACGTTAAGGATTGCTTTCTTGTACCAACTTGCTGGGTTCTGTAAGGAATCCGAATTATTATAAAATCCAGCTGGTTCAATGGTTTACCGGAATATTGAAAGAAAAATCATTCGGTGGTGCAATAGACAATTCCCATTATAGACTAATTTTAAACTTAGGTAAGGAGATGCAAATAAATCACCACAGCTAGAAAGAGCACACTAAAAATGAGTAAAATTGCAAAGTTTGGTTGCGAAATGTAAATAAAGTGCGGAAAATATAGCCTTGCAAAGTTTGCAAATTTTGTGCGGAAATTGCTACCATTTTCGGCACAAATGTGGTAGCAATTTCCGCACGCAATACAAAATTATATTAGAGCGAGTGCAAAAACGAGCGCTGAGGATCATTTTACCGGGTTACTCTTATAGGGAAGCATTAGCACAACTTGGGTGTTCCAGATTGGATGAAAGGCGAGAACGACATTGCCTCAATACTATGAAACGCATAGAAATTGAAGGACCACTGTCAAAATATGTTCCATTGTCTATGGCTAGTTCAAATGATTATGAACTTAGAAACTCTAACACATTAATAACAATAAAATGCCGAACAAAAAGATATCGCCGTAGCTTTTTTCCCAGTACAGTAGCTCTATATAATAGTTATAGTAAAGAAACTTAAGCGTGATACTTAATTACGATGATTTTAATGCAATTCAATAAGATTTTTAGACTTGATGCATGCAACTAAATTTTTTATATATGTAAATATATAGCGTACCAATTTTGTAAACGCACCATAATTCAATCTATTGCGAAGGTGTGTATCTTAAACCATTAATAATAATAATAATAATAATAATAACTTGCGAGACTAAAGAAATCAGTTGAGGCAGAGCTCCTTATTTAAATGAGAAAGACGTGGAGATAGCCAATGTGTTATCGCCAACGTGTTATCGCCAATCGCTTGGCTCGCCAACAAGCTTTATGCAATAGAAGAAAAAAGCAACATATAGCCAACGTGTACCGTCACGGACCTTGTCTTTGTTTACTGTCTAGCACAACGCCGTTGTCAACGGTGCAAATTCGTGTTCAGTACAACGATAACTCTACCATATCGTGCGAGAATCAATCTGTAGTATTCTGTACACAGAACTGTATCAAAGCTTGTCAAAATCAAAACTGCTTTAAACACTGCTTAACTGTGAAACTATTGAAATCTAAAGTCACATTATTCAACACATGCGAAAAGCTGAAAATAGACGTGACACTGGGAAAAGTCAAAGGTCAATGAGACTTGTTATTGTGAAACATGTCACAATTAGGTTAAAATGCGGAATCGGGTGAAGCGGATTCACGGACGGATATGCGGGTAAAATACGGAACGGATGAGGATAAAACGCGTCCTTTTAAATGATGTAACGACGTAGTGCTTATTATTTATAACATATCTTATACAGCTATTTCAATTATAGTTTTAGATAAATTCAGCATAGCAGTAGCCTGGTGGAGATGCTTTTAGCGACAGCTGCAAATGCAAATGAAAATTTAGAATATGCAAAATTTGGTTGTTGGTGAAACAATTTAAATTTCGAATTGTCGCGTGTAGCATCACAATAAACAACCTCGTTCCCAGGGTCTCTCCTTCTGTCATCTGGGAGAGACCCTGGCTGCGGCTGGTCACGTGCCTCCCAGATTCTGGGAGGTAAATTTAATTGTAACTGTGAGAGGGGTGGGAAAGGAGCGTGTTTGTAGCGTTTTAAAATTGCAACTTTGGGTAATGAAATTTACTGTAAATTTGCAACAAGAAATCGTAAAGAGAACTCTTAAATTAATATTTATATCGTGACGCTCTACTCTATAATCTGGTGTCGAGTTACAATTCAAGCAAGTTGGATCAGATTTCAATATTCAACTTATAGATTTGCCAAAGAAAGCACGCTTGCCGCTTGTGCAGCGTGGCAATATTAAACCTACAAGAAAATATATATCTCTAGACCGAACAGTGTGGTTGTTATTTATTTAGTATTAATGTCTATGCTGATACTCGGACCAAAAGAATTTATTTATTGATGAGATGTGGAATTGCAACGAAATAGCGAGATCTTTTGATTTCCGAAATATCGCCAACTGTATCCAGATTGTTGATCTATATAAAGGCCTTATCAAAAAAAACTTAAAGCCCGTCAAAACACTATAAAATTGGCCCTTGGCATTGCTGAAACCAACGATCATGGTATATGTCACAGTCTGTCTGTTGAAAATCTACGGTATTAAAATCATACACCAAAGATAAGTCAAACGACAAATTATATGTCACTATATTATACATGTCTTTCAATGAGCACTGTTTTTAGTAGTTTTCACCACCTTTATAAATTTTGTAAACAGCTTTCGTTTTGACATGAATAAGCTTTAATTTTTTGCGTGAATATGCATTCTTAATAATACAAGTGGGATTTAAATTTTTGCTTTGACTTTGTGAAATAGAATACCGTTATTTTTTAATGGACAGCTTGCATCGTCTATATCATATCCACGATTGCTTGTGTGTAAACGCATTATTCACTATATGACACTATCAAATAAATATAAGTACTAAAATGATTAATGAATTAGAGATAAACAGGTGATTCACAATAAAAACTTTAAAAATGTTAGTAGAAGTAGGCTAGAAAACTCGAAAATTTATGTCTATTCGTATGATGCCAATGACGCGGTCTGTGCGCATCTGACACTGTAAATTTGTGATATAGATTATAGTATGTTAACACAATATAATGATTAATAGAGAACAAAAAAGGCTAAAGTATTACTATAATTACCGAAAACGAATTATGTACTAAATCCAGATAAACCAATGACTGAAATTTCCTCTATACTTATAGACATTTCTCTGTTCGGCTATTATCAAATGTTTACATTTGCTGATATTGGGTCAGTCCTAGACAATACTGTTTCTTTTAAAAATCTTATAAACAAGACGCGTAGTAACAAGTGAATCGGTACAAAGCGTATCAACGTTTACAAGAAAGGACGAATATGATGGCGTATTTTAAAAACATTACAATATTAAAAGGTTTGTTATAACCGCGCTCGATTGTGAAGAGAGCATGCATTGAATAACAACGCGATATAGCACGTACTGCGAGTAACGATTTGCTTTGTTTCTTGACTTGACTGTAAGTAAGAATGTAAGAATGTTCTTGTAAATTCCAAGCAAAGAAAATAAACAAAAATTAGCAAGTATTTTGAACGTAATAATTCGCAAAATTTATGTTTTTAACGAATGTTCCATTGGAAGCATGTTTATGTGATTTGATACTTTCCCCACACCCCCTCAGGCGCTAAATTTTTGATGAGGCACGTGACCAGCCGCAGCCAGGGTCTTTCCCAAAGAAAGATCCTGGGTACGAGGTTGCACAATAAATAGATAAATTGCATCAGTTTCACAAGGCAAGTTTCTGATGTGTTAGGCTTGTTTCAAACGCCACGCTACTTGTGTGCCGAGCGTATTAAAAGCAATAAATAATGAGATGAAATGCCTTTGGGAACTGTTTATTTCGTAGTGTAAGTCATCAGCTTTTCTAGGTTGTCGGCGACCCTATATAGTTCTTGCAGTGTCTTTTTAAATTTGAAACTTCACACTATCCTTGGATCCCTAGTTTTCTTTTATGCGGTTTTGGACACATTCTAAAAATGCAAATATCAAATATAAATTTAAATACAATTAAGTTAGTTCGCTTGCACCCGCAAAACCTCTTCGCTAAATACAGAATATATATTTTCTCCATAGATATCTTATACACACTAGATAGTGCATCTAATTATTCTGCAATTCAAAAATTGAAGCCGTGATTGCAGACTCAGGATATTCCCATGAAATGAGAAGATTCGTATGTTTTCTATTTCTTAAACAGGGAACTTAAACATTAAGTTAATCCTATTCCAAATACATTTTTAAACTATTCAAATGATGAAAGTTATTGTTGTTTTTAAACGTTTATTAGCGAGTGGGAACTACCAACATGGCCGCCATCTATTCAAATGGGGGTAACCGCTGGAATATTCTTGGCTTCAATTTTACTAAAAGAGATGCGCTATCTAGTTTGTATAAGATATCTATGGTTTTCGCGAAAAACTTTCTTATTTCGTAGAGCTAGTAAATAATTTCTTTGTGAGCTTGTTGCAGTATTATAAAGAGATATTTTCACACCAATTTTGACCAGAGTCTTGAATTTTGCGTTTGATAATTATACGCCCCCCGGTTCACCGCCATATTGGACCTTTGCATCATAGCCAACTAAAGCTTCTGCAGAGGAGAGAGGTGCGTGGGTACTAAATTAAAACAAATTAAAAATAGATAGAGGCGCTGCTCGCATGAAGCCTCCAAGCGCTCCTTTCTTATCTACAGTAACTCCACTATATAGCACCCCGCTCAAATTCTTTTTGTAAAAGTGAGGCTTTCAAACAATCCAGAACTGCATGGCGATAAGGATTAAGAGTTTAATTGCCTCATGAGCAGTTAGTAAAAATTTGTTGGCAATTCACTCCAAAATTCTACATAGCTCAAGAGCAAATATTTGACATGCACGGTTAGTACTAGAAATACATGCATGCAACAACCCCTCTCCTATATTTTCGCAAGTATTCGTAATTACGCCAACACTGAACGCAGGCTCGCGTTGCTCACGTGATGTTAGTCATGGCAACACGATAATTGTTTTTTTAATTTTTTGTACAAACCTGAACAAAATATATGAAATTTGAACACTTTTAAAAACAGAACTATCAATTTCTAAAATATATAATGTAGGTATATTATATTGGTTTCTATGGGCTTTATTACTCGCTTGGGCACCCTGTGCCCCAGACGAGTATAGGTTTCGGCATCATGGATCTCCGATCTCCAATCGTCGATAGCCACAAAATAGCTGAGCTGCCTAATTTTCACCCAAATTATCCATAAGGCTCCTGCCAATTTGACCCAAATTATCCATAAATAACCCTGCATTTTTGAGGAAAATTCGGGAAAATTGAACAATTTTACAAGGAATTTCGA